CAGAGGAAATGAGAGAGCAAAATCCCAGCATCTTTCTTTTCATGCTGTAGTAAATTTACTTGCAATGCAAAGAGGAAAGTGTGCAATCTCCCAAAGTAATAACTGCACTTTGATTCTGAGTCCGTTTTTAGAAAACAAGTCATCTTGATAATCACTCTTCCCCAGGCAATTTACAGTCAGATTCAATGCGTATTATCAAATCTTCACAAATATTTTCCAGGTTAGATAGCTGCTAATTTTTAATAGTGAATCAATTAAAATATTAATCATTTCAGTAGAATATTAAATAAAATTTCTGATGTTTGTGGTTACCTTAAGCTCAATTCTTACAAAGATTTCAGAGGAAAATTTAAAATTACTTAAAAGCCCTGTTAGTGTCAGGCCCAGAAGGCAGTACAATGAGTGTTGTGCATTCTGCTACTTATTAAAACCATAATTAATCACAATAGTCCAGGCATTAAAGCACACCCACCATATAAAAATGAAAGTGTATATAAGCAACCTGGCACTCATTTATTCACATCCTGTCAATATAAAGAAAATTTTATGTTCAATCATACTTATGATCCTTAAAAGTACTCTAAAGTTCACATCTATTGTACTTCATGGTTTTGATAAACTGAAAAGTTTTGATCTCTACATTTTCAATGAATGTTTGTGAGTTAAACACCTTGGCCTTTTACTGAAGAGATCAATTTTGGGGGTCAGGGCAGCATCTTTAGGTGGTGTTTGTAATGCTTTTCTGAGTATAACTTTTTATTTGGAGAACATAAAAAACTCAATTGTTTACCTTTTACATATTATTTTCATAATGAGTGAGGAGGGAAGGAGCTATAGTAACATTTCTGTTTTACAAGAGGGGGCATGTGTGAAATGCTACATTAGGATAAAGATAAAATGGTGATTACCCAATATTAGGAATCTGTTTTTTCAAAATAAGTATATTAAATTAAAATTCCACTGCATGAAAATTAGTGAGGTACCATTTAAAAAAGAGCAGTTCCATCTGACATTAGATATGGTATGTTCTATTTTCTATACAAGTAATTCCACTTGTAGCCACTTAATTTTTTTGAAAGTTGCCTAGATCTCTCAGTGTTACAAGGAATGGCTCAGGAGCTAGCGGCCTCTTATTACACTGGAGATAGGTTGCATCTCAATACTACTTCCTCAAAATATCCATCACCTTCAAATTTCTCCAAGAGGAAGTTATAAGTGATTCTGATGGTTCCCATGTCCTCACACTGGTACGAATCCTAATTCCAGAATGTACTCAAGACATCTCCCATCTCAAAGGTTGTTAAGTATAGAGCAGGATTTAACTATTTTATTGTAGAAACAGGTCCTATAGTAAACATTTACGAGGATATGCATGATTTTGAAAGTGGCCTTGGATCGCAAATGCAGCTCAGTGGTATACGACTTGCCAGCACATGTGAGGCCTTGGGTTTGCTTCCAGCACAAGACGGGGGGAGCTGCAGGAATGGCTTTGTTGGGCTCATGAGAGAAATGATAACTCTAAGCAAGAATTTTGTGTTCTAAGTACTGCTGAGGTAACTATAAGGTATAACTTCTGACAAAACTGAGAAGCCCCGACTAACCCTTTTCCTGCCTTGTACTAGATGTACAGGACCTAAAGGGCAGTGGTAGTTATGGTAAATATGGAATATAACCCAATGTATAAGGGAGGCCGAAATATGTCATCTTTTTTATTGTGACAGGGTTTTGTTATGTAGGTCAGACTGGCCTTGCACTCAGTGACCTTCCTGCCTCAGCCCCCCACTCCCAGTACCCAGAGTGCCGGGATTACGGGTATGAGCCAACACCTTGGCTGTCATCTTTAAAGGGCTTCAAATTAAATTTTAAAATCTTCCAGTAGGAATTCACTTTTTAAAAATAACATTTTACAACTACACAACTAGACACAGGAAAAAGGAAACACTGCAACTTAAACAGTACTACCCTTAGATAGTGGAATTACAGATAATTTGGATTCTTATACTTTTGGCATTTATATCTAATCAAACGTTTCTACTGAATCAGCAAATAAGGTAGCAATTTACTAAAATGAAGACCATTATTTATGTAAAGCAAATATTAAAATTCAGTATTTTCAGCAAATGTATATAAGTAAAGACAAAAATATGATTTCTGCTTGTAAATATGTATTTTTAATACCAAAGGCTAGAAAACTAAATCATCAACACCAGGAGGTGCTGCTTAACCAGACTATGGAATAACAGATCACTGCAGAGCTAACTGAAAGCTCAGGCAGATCTTTATGTGCTGCTCTGGAAAGATGGCCAAGTTAGGTTACCAAATGAGAAGACCAAGGTGTGTAACAGTTGGTATCATAAGCTCCCAACAGCTACAGAAAGAATGAGAGGTAAGAGTGGGGCAAAGAGTCATTTGTATGCATAGAACACACTTAACAGGCCACACAGGAAGCTTTCCATGTTGGTTAATTACTGTTGGGATGTGGGATAAGAGAGTAAGAAACTGGGTCTACAACATGATCATAGCCACATAGAAATATGCAATGATACATAATTCAGAAAAAGGCGAGTACACTCCTGAAAGTAACTTTTGCATCTATTTCAGGGTTGCCCAATGAAGATTTTAAAAGCACAACATGATAGTAGGTATTGAAAAATAATGGAAAAATTATGGGAAAAGCTCATGAAACAACAATAAAACAGGGTCTAGGATATAGCTCAGCAGCATACTGCCTGCCTGGCAAGCACAAGGTTGTGAGTTCGATTCCTGGTACGAAAAACAAAGCAACAAAAAAACCCTACAATAAAACAGCAGTAGCCATGGGTGCCACTACAGTAACTGGTATTTCAAAATGCAGTCACAGGTTTTTACTGATAACAAGGAAATGGCCAGAGGGCTGATTATCAAAGAAAACTAACTTCTAATTAAATCAATACAGAATACATTGAATATAAGTGATTATATCCTAAAATTTCCCTGCCATATTTACTTTGGTTTACAAATTTAATAATCCAGTAGATACAACATACTCCCGAAAATCGGGAGAGTAACAAATGAAAGGAAGACATTTTTATTTTGATTTTTTTTTCCTTTTTATCAGTACTGGGAATCGAACTCAGGACTCCCTGCTTCCAAGGCAGGCGTTTATGCCGCTGAGCTAAATCTCCAGCCCCTATTTACACAGTACTTTCTCCTCTGAAAACAAAGAAGGAAATCCATTACAAAATTAAAGACGGAGAAGGTTAAAAACTCAGAAACATTCTCTCAAACTAGATGATTGTTACTGTTTTAAAGCTTCCTTTAACATAACTCTAAATACAAATTATTTCACCTTTTGCAACATTTATGTCTCAGATGCAACACCAAGACTGACCCTAGTGTGTCTAAAAACTCAGATTTATGGCTTAATAATACCTCTACATTACTAAAAACGAATTTACTGAGGTGCACCGATACAAAGCAAACACATGTCAACTTGTTTTGCATCCGAATGCCAGTAATAAAGTTATTAAACTAGTTCTTTTTGATATGTAAGGTTCTTTTCAAACGCTGATTTTTTCCCCCATTCATTAACACTAGTGTGTTTTACTGAGCTTCCCTGAGTGTATAAATTATAAAAAGACACCACAAATCCCCAAGGATTCACAGCCACAAGCAGCCACTGTGAGACTTAGCTGGCCATTAGATAACATACCACGAACAGATTACTCAAAATCAGCGCAGATACTGGAGAAAAGAAGCAATGCTGCTAATTTTCACTTCATATCTAAGATGTGGCAGTTCTCTTTCAATTTTCCCTACCAGTGACCAAATGGTTTATTTATAGTCTTCTGTTTTTTTTTCTGGGAAAAAAATTATCCACTGCAAGCAAGAGTGTAGTTTCCAGATGTATTTTTCATGGAATGGAGAAGCCAACTAGACACAATAATCCGGAAGATCAGAAAGGTGATATAACACTTATATCATTCAGACATCTGGTAATTTAAGACAAACAGGGGACCTAGGGCAAAAAATGAAGGTAGCACCAAGAGCATTCTCAGTGAAGCTGCTGTTGTCTGCGAGGCGCTCATACTTGGTGACACTCTATTACACCTCTAAATGGCGCTGCAGCCTGGGCCACTCTGCATACTTCATCCTGCTACCATTCACACAGGTGTCACTGCACACAACCATCCTCGCTACTTTTTAAAAAAGTCTCCCGGTTTCTGGTTCTACGAAAAACGCATCGCATGCTTTGCACAGCCCAGGCCCTTCACAGGTAAGGCAGATGTTTCTTCGCATCCAGGTGTCTGACGTTGCTTTCCTTTGCTCGTCCAGTATATTTTGGTAACGTTCCTCCCCATAACCTTTTACCTCAGTGGGTCTACAGCCTAATCACTTGCCCTCAGGCGTCTTAGATTACCACCGAAGTTCCCCCTCCAGGAATTGATGAAGGGGAGGGTTGGAAGGGTTTGGGGTGGCGCTGGGGAGGAAAAAGTCCCGTCAAAGTCACGTAAACTTCAGTTCGTCTAACCTACATCGAGGCCATCTCGTTTGCCATCTCCTCCTACTGGCCTTTCCGGACAGCGAGACAGCGCCGAGGCTGACACCTGACGTCGCATTCCCCGTCTCGACTGAGAGGTTTAAGGCGCTATTTCTGGGAAACCTCAAATTATTTTTATCAGCCCTTTGGGAGACGCTGTCTCCAAATCTTAACTTTGGAAGCTAAGAATCACAGAGGCAGGGAGGCCGTGCGGAGGAAGAGGAGCCTAGGCTGCCCCTTCACAGCCTCTGGCTCCTGGCCGTCCTCACACAGCCGCGGATCCCGGCCCAGGGAGCTCCGGGGGAGGGGACGGGAGCGGCTTCCCGAGTCAGCCTCGGCCAAGGCAGCGCCCGCGGCAGCCGCTCCTCCGCCGGATCCGGCCTGGCCACCCGGGCAGGAGGGGCCCGTTGGGGCCTCCGCCTCTCCGCGGCCACGTCCCGCCTCTAGTCCGCCGCTGCCGTGTCGCCGTCGGAGCCCTTACCCGCAGGACGTGGTAGCCTTCTGTGCCGCCGCCCGGGATCTCGACGCTTTGCGAAGAGCCCATGGCGGCGGGCGATCGGTGAGGCCGAGCCGGGTTCTGCTCTCCGCCCCACGCGCAGCGCCCGCTCCGCTCCTCAGCACTATACTTGGGACGTGGCACTCGCTGCTGCCTGAGAGCCGGGCCGCACAGCCCGCCGGGAGATCATCGCCCTAGCAGCCCGGCCACAGAGTCGCCTCAAACAGCGCCACCTGCTGCAAGCCACCAGCACAGACCAAAACGCGCGCGGGGCGGAACGGAAGGGCGGGGAGGAGCCTGGCGTGCTCGCGAGAAAGCGGAAATACGGTTCCTCGATTTGAACACCTTGCTACGGGACCCTGGCGTGGTCAAGATTTATATAAACGCGTTCTCACGCTCCCGAAAGAACGGTTGCTTAGTTGCAGTTCCCCCTGGTGGCCAAAGGCAAAGCAAGGGCTGTGACTGAAAAGAAAGGGAATGAATATAAAACTCATCAAGTTGCCTTTATAGGTCTTGTCCCAGGTTGTACACCTGAGGATAATGGCTCTCTGTGGGCTGAATACCACGTTGGTGAGTTCAGTTTTATAAAGGGAACGTTTGCTTTATAAAACTGCTGCCCCAAAGAGTCAGAATCCTGGAACACCCACCAGAGGTATATATTTTTTGTTTTTGTTTTCCCACTCTTCTCTGATTGTGCGAACAACATCAGAGGATCAGTCGGTCACAGTCAGAGGTTTGCCAGAGTGGGAAGCACGATTTGACCCCAACTCACTTCCTTTGCGCAGCCAAGTTTCATTCACACTTAACTTTGTTCTTTTGCTCCTTCTGTCCTTTTCAAAGTACTCCCTGTAAAGCCCCCAGTTATTGTCATTGTCTAGTGATCATTTGACCATCACTAATGATGACTCAACCAGAAGTGGTCTGTTTTGTTTTGCAATGTGAACATCATGTTATCCCCCAAGAAGTATTCTAACCCCAAGGGTTTAATTCACCTCTCTTATACCTTTACTTAGAACTTCTAGTTTTTAGGAAATACAGAGAACAGAGGATCAAGTAGAGGGCGTCCCAGGGAACCAGGCAAATACAGGAAGTGAGTTCTTCTTTAAGACAGCCAACCAGTTCTTCAGGTCAATCATACAAAGAAGACAATGCTGGATTAAAGAGGAACTAGGGATGTAAGTCTCGAGTTGGAGGCTTGTTATGGTTTTGATCTTAAATGTACCCAAAGCCTTCTATGCTACAGGCTTGGTCAGCAACCTGTGAGCTATTGGGAGACAGTGGAACCCTTAGGAGGTGGGACCCACTGAAAGGAGATTAGATCACTGGTCATGGCCCTCGAAGCTGCATATTGGGCCCCTGGGCTTCCTTGCTTCGTAGCCTCCATGAAGACTGCAGCTTTGGTGCTACCTGCCATGATATTACATCTCATGACAGGCCCAAAAGCAACAGAACCAGTGACCGTGTATTGAAATCTCAGAAACCATGAGGCAAAATAAATCCCTTAATCTTCCTTTAAGTTGGTTATCTTGAGTACTTTGTCACAGCAATTAAAATCTGGTATACAGAGATGATTTGGAGAATGTAGCTAATTAGTTGTAAAGGATATTTTTGCTTTGTTTTGAGATAAGGTCTGCTTAGGTTGTTTTCCATGGTATCAGTAGATACTCCCACCTCAGCCTCTAGAACAGCTGGAACTATAGGTGTGTCACTGCCCAGCTTGTAAATGACATTTTTGGCTCAGGTGGGTAAGTTCGCGTGTGTATTGGATATGAGAACCGAAACATTTATTCCCATGAAAATTACTGAAAAAAATCTAGTCAAAAGACATGGTGAGTCTGCAGACATACAAAATGATCTTGTTAAACAAAATATTATTTTTTGAGCTGGTACTGGGGATTGAACTCAGAGCTGTGTGCATGTACCATTGAGCTATTACCTCAGCCCTTTTAATTTTTTTTACTTTGAATTAGGGTCTGGCTAGTTTCCTAGGCAGGGCAGCCTTGAACTTGTGATCCTTTTGCTTCAGACTCTTGAGAAACGGGAGGTGTAGCCATCTGCATGCCCAGCACAAAATGTATATTAGTACTTATGTATACATATGAAGATTGGGAGCATATGAACCAAGCATTTTAGTGTTTGCCTCTGAGTGATCCAGAGATATTTAACTTGGTTTTGGCTAGATCAGTATTCTATAATGATCATGAAGTACTTCTTCCGAATAACAAAATGTTACTTAATCATTTCTCTTTGTCCTGCTAATACACCAGTTAGGTTTTCTCAAGGCCTAAGAAATACATAAACAATGAAGTCTCCAGTTATTAGGATCCTCAAGGGCAGGAACTATAGTGGACTTAGCTTCATGTTCCTAGCATTTATGAGAGTGGCTGGTGGCTAAACCAACATATTAATGAGTTTAATGCAGAGGAATGAATGTAAGAACTAGATTTGAAGATAATGTTCTTGTTCTGTTTGGCAGTTAGTAAACCTCTTCGTGAGAGTTTCATAAACTGTTGCTACATTCAGTGGTCAAAATTTTGGGGCTACTTTTTACCAGACGTCTGATACTAGCCATGGCTTGCAGAACCCAGTACTGAGTCTTTCAAGGGCCGTGAGAAAGTCTAGCCCTTTCTTTGGGCTAGACTGTGTGCATCAGCACGTGAGTGAATATTTGCTAGTTCCTCTACAGACCATTGTTTTTATTCACTTGACTTTGTCCATAGTAATCACTATGTCTTTTTGTTAGTTTTCTCTTGGCTGAGACAAAGTACTCAACACTCAAAGTTAAAGGAGGCTTTTTTTTTTTTTTTTGGTACTGGAGTTCGAACTCACAATCTTGTGCTGGCCAGGTAAGTGCTTATTGCCGCTGGAGGAAAGGTTTGCAGAAGTTTTAGTCCATAATCAGCTGGTTCCAAAGAAGAGTGGAATGGTAGACAGGACTCAGAGCAGAAACAGTTCATGGCAGACAGAAGGTAGCAAAGCAAACAAGAGATGGTCCTTATATTATCTAGGTTACTTAGGGTGGGTAGCACTCACACCCTTAATCCTAGTGCCCTTGATCCCAGCATTGCACCATGAATCAGTTTCAACACCACACACTTTAGATCCAGCCACCTCTGAAAAAAACCCCACTTATGACCACATGAGGCTTTGGGGAGACATTTGGACACAATCTGTAACAGTCTTGAATGCCATTTCCTACATTTTCTACTTAGAAAAATTCTAATGGTCCCATAGGTCCATCTAAAATGTTACTTATCTGTCCCTATGTTCAAAATGATTTTCTTTCCTCTCTGAGCTCCTGAAACTGCAGGTTCCTTCATTTTTGGTGACATCATCATGAGTATGCTCCTCTTCCTAATCATCCCAAGTCTGTCTTCCACCACTTATGATCTATTCATTTAGGGAAGAATAACTTCTTTTCATCTTAAGATCCCTGATTTTTAGTTGGGAACACAGTGCAGTAGTTGTTTTTTAATAGTTGTATTTGTTGATTTGAATTGAACATATGTAATAAATAGCTTTAAAGCTTTTTATTTTTCATACTCAGTTAATAAATTATCTTTGTGGCCACTATTGATACATTACAAAAAAATTTTTTTAAGTAGCACTTGTTTAAGGGATAAGGTACAAGGTCAACCTGATTTGGCATGGAAAAATGTAATAACCACTGCTCTAGCTCCTGGTGTTAGTTGTCTTTCTTCTTTTAGTTAAAGAATACACTCAAACAGAGGGCAAAGAATAAAATCTAAAGAATGTTGCCAAAGCTAATAAAAATAAACACAACACGACAGAGGGGAACCCATGAGAGATTATTGTCCAAATCAGTTGCAATTGGAGCAGGAATCTGCTGCAGGCAAGTTGGTATTTTGAAACATCACGGGCAGCAGAAAAGCAAAGTCCAGCAAAAGCAAATATCTACAGGCTTAGAAAAAATCAAAGCAGAAGCAATTTATTTTTCTGGAATAAGCATTTGTGTGCTTCTCCTGGGTTTATTTCTGAGATCTGATAAATTGCTAGTTCATGGTAAAAGTGTCATTTTTATCATATTGACTGGTGCAGCCTAACTTTTTGCCTCCAGACAAACCTCGGAGAGCTTAGCTCCTGCTGTTTTGGGATAGCAACTCTCTTAGGTAGGTCGGACAAGGGGGCCTTACATGCTGTAGCCCCTTCCTAACTTAGTTTGTTTTGCTGAGAGATCCTATCATATTTCATGGGCCCTCACTCAGCCACTACCAAGTGGAGTAGGGGAACACATGACCTGCAGGTAACCAACACCTACTGAACAGTATGCCCATGGGATGGCCTTTAGGAAAAATTCTGCTTCCTAAAATAGAAGGTAGTGATCATATATTTTCTCTTTGAAGATTTAGAACTGAGGAATACAAGGAAAGACTTATCAGTGTGCATTTATTTGTGTATTAAAACATGAGGCCCACAAGGGATGTTCTTTGCCTCTCTGTCTGGGACTTAGTACTGACAAACGGCAAACACAGAATAGTTGCTCAATAGATGTTTGTCCAATGAGCGAATGAAGAACAATGAAGTTATTTTACTAGGAAGCACCAGACCAGTGGTTCTCTAATTTGGAAGCCTATCAGAAACACCAGGGAACATTATAAAAATACACAAATCCAAATGCTAATTTATTTCAGTGAGCCTGTGTCACTGTTGTCATCATCCATTCTGATGTACACAAAGTTTGAAGAGTCCCACACTAGCGTGATGCTTAGTAAACCTGCGTTGTTTTCTGGTAATCAGGTAATCAAGGAGACTCCCAAATGGAGAGAGATCATCGTAGCACCTGAATGGCCATGAGGTCCAAATGGTTCTTGTTTTTCTTTGATGTTCCCATCACATTATTGTCATGCTTTTTTTTTTTATTTGTTTGTTTTTTGAGGTACCAGGAATTGAACTTATGACATTGATGCTTGCCAAGGAGGTGCTATGCCGTTGAGTTATATAGCCAGGCAAACTTTTCTTTGTATTTTATTTTAAATAAACTACTTAGAACAATTTTGTATTTTCAGAAAAGCTGCAGATAGTACAAAGATTTCCCGTATACTCTTCACTCAGTTTCCACTTTGGTTAATGTCTTAGGTCAACCATGTACATTTGTCAAAACAAGGAAACCAACATTTGCATATCATTCACTAAACTCTAAAGTTTGCAAGTTTTTTACTACTTTTTTTCT